AACACTTGACTTGAAGGGAAAACTAGGAGTCCTTTCTTTTTTTTTTTTTAAAGAATTATTTTATTGGGGTCGGCAGGTAGCATGGTGGTTAAGGTGCCGGACTCCCACATGGCAGAACATAATTCGAGTCTCAGAACTGGTGGCTTGCTCTCTCACTTTTTCTCTCTCTCTCTCATTCCCTCTTTCTCTACTCTCATCAAATTAAAAAATAATAACAAATTAAATAAATATTTTTAAAAGAATTATTTTATTTAACTTTATTTATTTATTTTTATTGGACCAGCAGTAAACTATTACATATATTTGTCTGGATTTCTGGACATTACAGTCACCTGAACAATCTTAACTCAGAAGACGAGAATAATCATGTATTTAAAACCCTGTTAAAATAGTCAACATAGGGCCAGCAGGTGGCGTACTGGTTAAGGTGGTAGACACCCACATGGCTGACTGTGGTTTGAGTCCCAGACCTGGAGGCTTGCTTTCTCACTTTCTCTTTCTCTCTTTCTCTCTCTGTCTCTTGTCATATTAAAATAATAATAACAAATGGAATTAAATAATTATTTTTTTAAAGTCAACATAAAAAGAACTTAATAACTCTATAAATCATCTCCTATATAGATGGTTTTCTAATTAATCTCATTTTGTTCTGATCATTAAACTTACCTGCATAAATTGAACTGTTAAAAAAAGAGTGGGGCCGGCAGGTGGTGTGGTGGATAAAGGCGATAGATTCCCATATGGCCGATCATGGTTCGAGTCCTGGACCTAGTGGCTTCTTACTTTTTTGTTTTCCCTTTCTCTCTCTCTCTGTCTGGTCAAATTTAAAAATAATAATAATAATAAAAACAAATGGAATAAATAAATAAATAAATTATTAATTTTTGAAAAGAGTAATTTACCCCTACTTACTTAAAGCCAGATTGCCCTACATAGAGCAGCTATGTACAAAAAAGTTATAAAATTGTCCTTAGTTTTACCATGATAAATGAAAAATATTCAAATTCCCCAAAGTATGCAAGAATTTTTATGTTGTTGGGTTTTTTTCTTTTTCGTTTGACACACCTGCACAATGGAGGGTGAAGATACAATTACTGTGTTCCAACGGCAGACAGGAGGTGTCTACTAAAAAAATAAATATTTTTTTTAAAAAAAGGAAACAATCCCCAACCAGCCCTTCCTGCATCTAGTCCCTGCCACAGCACTCACTGGATCCTGCCGCCTTGGTGCTGGGGCCCGGCCAGGAAGCGACAATCCGTCATCCCTCCCTGCTTGGGGACTGATGAAGGGGCAGGCTCTGTCCTCAGGACCGGTGGGAAGACGGACTCGGGGGTGGACTCCATGATTTAGACAACATCTCTGGGTAGAGGAGACGCACCAAAGGATCCCATTGCCCTGAACCTGGCATACCGAAAGGCTGGAGGGCACGCGGGCTCTTTATAGCTGTACAGGTGAGAGCCCACACCACGCAGAGCTGGTAATTAGCCAAATTGGCCCATGTTATCCCAACCCCTGAGGACTTATTAAATAAACAGGGACAAAGAAAAAGGGGCATACTTTGCAGTACTTGGGACCTCCAATTTCTCAGGAGGCAGCTTGCCTGTACTCTTTTTCTGACTTTTAAGTGTCTTAACACTTCATATAAAATTTGGGTTCATTTTTAATTGTTTTTTTTAATCCTGATTTGGGCCAGCCCATGCCATGGTGGTTCAGGCAGCTGGACTGCATGTGGCCCACACTGTGGCTCTCCCAGTAAAGGGGCAGTGGCCTCAGTGGTG